TTTCTGGGGCCCCGACCAGTTCAGACCCCTGGGCCGCCTGCGGCCCCCCCCCCCCCCCCTCCTGGACAGCCTGACCTTGTCGGCTGCGCAGGTCCGAACGGGGGTGCGCAGTGCTGGTGCGCGCGGGCATACGTGGGGCTGCCGAAAGCGTAATATGTTGGGTCATCGGCCGGCACCTCTCACCACCCACCAAACCACCCCAACCCAACCCGAAGGCCTCAAACTGACCTCCATTTCCAGTGAGGGGGGGGTCGGGGAACATCGAGAACACATATGGAACCCGTACCCCCCCCAACCCGAAATTCGGGTCTTCGGGTTGGGTTGGGGTGGTCTGGTAGGTAGTCACCACCCACTAATCCGGGTTATCGCCGGCAAATCGATAACGATCTCCAGCTCGTCGAGGGCAGGCGCGGAGGAGGCTCGAAGAACGAACAGCTGCACAAGCGTGCACTCTCGGACTTCCGCCCGGATTTCGTGGATCGGCGCTGGGCACCCCGGGCGGTGCCTCTGGCGCCGCCCCTGGTGCGCTGCGCGCGCTGGGGAGGGGGGGTCCAGCGCCGATTCGAGAGATCCGCGCGGAGCTCCGACGGTTTGTGCTTCTGCAGCTTCTGGCTCTGCTGGAGACGCGTCGGAGGTGGGCGGGTTGAGGCAGCGGCGGCTGGCCCTCGGGGGGTCCCCTCGTCTCCGCGCCTGGACGCAGCTCGGGAAACCGGTGAGGAAATCGAAGAAGAACACATTCAGGAGGGGGAAAACACACACAGACACAAGTCATTATCGATTCCCAGGAAGATATGGAACAATATGGGAAGTGTGGGTGTGGGGGGGGGAAGACAAACACTTAGAACATATGGGAAATTATTTGGAATCTGGTTATTTGTGTGTATTTATTTGTGTGTCCCAGGGTCCCTTCAAACACAGCATAAACACAAACTTCTGGAGCTCCGCGCGAATTTCTTAGATCGCTGGGCCCTTCTTCCTGGCGCGCGGAGGCCGCGGAGGGCGGTGCCAGAGGCGCCGCCAGGGGGGCCCAGCGCCGATCGCCAAGAAAGCAGCGCGTAGTTCCGAAGATTCATGACTTTTCCCAAGCCTCGCTTGGTTGGGTTCTTGTTTTGAACAGAGCAGTGGGGTCTCCACCTCATCCTCGCCCCCCCCCCCCCCCGATCTCCTCTCGGCTCTCTCCTCTCGCATCCCTCCTGAGGGCCGCGAAGTGTGCAACTGTCGCCACTTTCGAAGGTTGCTGGGGGAGACAGCACAGTGGGGGCGCAGATCCAAACGGGAGCTGGCCATCCCTGGGGGGTTGCGAAGTGTGAAACTGTCGCCACATTCGAGGGCTGCTGGGGGAGCCAGCACAGTGGGGCCGCACGCAGATCCAAACGGGACCTCGCCATCCTTGGCTGTGAAGTGTGAAACTGTCGCCAGTTTCGAGGGTTGCTGGGGGAGCCAGCACAGTGGGGCCGCACGCAGATCCAAACGGGACCTCGCCATCCCTGGGGGGGGGGTCTGCGAAGTGTGAAACTGTCGACACTTTCGAGGGTTATTGGGAGGGGGGCAACACAGGAGGAGGAAGAGACAGAGGAGGGAGGGTTGCTGGGAGGGGGAGGAGGAGGAGGAGGAGGAGGAGGAGGATTAGAGGATGGATGTTGTTGGAGAGTAGATGAAGGAGGAGAGATGAGGAGGAGGAGGAGGAGGAAGCAGGAGTGAGGCTGGGATATCGGCATGAGGATCTGACGTAGGGAGAGGACAGGGGAGTGGAGGAGTATCATGAGGAGGAGGTAGGAGAGTATGAGGAGATGATGAGTGCGGAGGCGGTAGGATGAGGAGGAGATTCGAGGAGGAGGATGTAGGATAGTCTGATTCGGATGATTAGGCAATTCTAGGAAGGTTTTCTCTCGGTCTTGCCACGCGAATCCAGTGGGACCTCGCCATCCTCGGGGGACTGTGAAGCGTGACGCTGTCGGCATTTTCACGGGAACTGCTGGGCGGGGCGGCGCAGTGGGGCCCCACGCAGATACAAACGGGACTTCGCCCTCCTCCTCCTTCTCCTCCTCCTCCTCCTCCTCCTCCTCTTCCTCCTCCTCCTCCTCCTCACAAAAGACGACAGAGCTGACGTGAACCCGCTGCGCAGGTGGATTAGTGGCTTCCCGAGGCCTGTGATTGAGCCACATCGCCGCACGGTCTTCGAGCAGCTGAAGACTCGTGTGCTCAGCGATCTTGGAACACGAATGACTGGCCAATTCCACAATGTTTCGCAGGCATTATCGATCACCTTTGCGAGTGAGAAGGATGCGATGGACTTCCACGACTGGTTCAACGCGAGTCCGATCAACTGGCAGGACTATCGCAAGAATTCGGTGCATCCTCTTCGTTGTCGGCGAGACATGCCCCTCGCTGCGCGCCAGAAGAATCGCATCCGGAGCTCGCCGTCGCCATTCATCCGCAAGCACCCGGAGAACGAGGGAACGTGGGCTCCTGACATCAAGCTAGGTACGGACCCGTTCAAAGGTGGGCTCAGCATCACGACCGAGAACGACCACTGGGAGCTCTTCCGCTGAGTGGACGCACCAAGTGGCATGTACGACTTGAAACCGCTCGACGGCCAACGCAGGGACTGGGGCATCTCCGAGCGGACGGCCAACTGGACGGTCGAGCAGGCTCAGGCCGCTATGCTCAACATCTGAGATGCGGCCAACCTAGCTGCGTGTGCACTTCGTCTTCCTTCTTTTTCCCTGCCTGTGCTGCCTGCCTCTGTCTCTCCGCCTGTTGCTTCGTCGCTGCCGTCTATCAACGCATCGTTTTCACTTAATTTTTTGGGGGCCCAGCCACCTTCGCCCGAGGGTCCTTCGGATCCGTGCCTGAGTTTTCCGCCGTCTCTCTCCAACGGTCGCGGGGTTCGACTGGCTGTCTGGAACTGCCACACCCTATTCGGAACGGTCTCTGGGGACCGCGAGATGCAGAAGCAAACCTTCGACCGCCTCGCCAACCTAATTAGAGCAAACAGCATTATCTGTCTTCAAGAAACGCATGGCCGTGAAGGTGACCTCGTGTCGCTTGAAATTGAGTTTCCAGCATTCGGTTCGTTATGTTCTTTCGGTTCGGGGCCAAACGCTGGAGGCAACGTGATTACGATTTTTCGTGCTCTATGCAGCCTGCTGCCGAACGCCTTGCAAGTCGAGCTGGTGCCTGGGCGATTGCATGCTGTTACACTGTCGTCCTCCACTTTCTCGCTCGCCATCCTCAGCCTCCATCTCAACCGCCACAGCGATAATATTCGCACTCTAAATAAGTGTACTGAGTCTTTACAATATGTTCGAGGCTTATTCTTCTTCGTGGGTGACTTCAATGTCTGCGAGCGGGGGGAAAGGACCTCAGCGTGCCGATGGCTCTATTCAAAGCCGTGGACCTGACTCTCTGGCTCATAAGTTCTGGACATTGCTTCCGCGGTTTATGGAGCGCTCGCGGGGCAACCCAGCCCATCGTGCCTCTCGCGACGGAAGTACTGTGAGTGTGCCTCGGATTGATCGGGTCTACACGAGCATGTTCACTGGCGATCTCCTGGGTCTCAAGCCGGTTTGCGGGACCTCCTGGAACATTTGCAAAGCTGACCTTCCGAGTGATCATGGTCTTGTGTATCTTCGCCTTTGCGGTGGTGGGCGCAACCGTTCCCGATCTGTTCCTTCCTGGGCTTCTAGGCGTCCCATCCCCCGTGCCCGATCCTCCTTGGGAAGTTGGCTGATGAGCATGGGGTCAACGAGACTAGCCCTTTCACGCTGATTGAGGAGCTCACTTGTATGATGCGTGGGGCAGGGGGTCAAGTGCAGCGCCGTCTTGCCGAGCTTCCCACTGGGGCCGCTGTGGCTCTTTGCTGTGAACCGTGCGATGCGCCAGAGTGCTGCGCATATCGTTCGTCGAGCCGCCAAAGTGCCGCCGAAGCATTGCGAGCTTCTCGTGCCCGACTCGCGCGCATGGCTTAGCCAGCAAGCGTTTGACGACCATGTGGCGACGGTCGCCGCCGTCCGACTTCAGAACGAATACGACTTAATCGTCGGTCGCACCACCGAGTTCCCGCAATACTTCGAGCACGAGGCAGCAATGCTCCAGCGCGTGGTCTCCGCTTGGCCCCCGCAGAACCGCAGGATTTACATCGCTGGCGTCGCGGGTGCCGAGGCGAATGCTCGCCCTGCTGTTGAAGCAGGTGCCCGAGCACGCGCGGCTCACTGGAGCCAGGTTAATGCAGGCGTCCCTTCGCAGAGTGTTGCCCGCGACCAGTTAGAGGAGCGCATCCAGAAGGTTCAAGAAGATGTTAGGTGCAGGCTTTCGGAGACCCGGTTTTACGATGCTCTGGACTCGCTTCGGGGCTCTGCCCCTGGGCCTGACGGGCTGTGCTGTTCCTGCCTGGTCGAAAGGAAACGACTTTATCAGGTGGGCGGCCTTCTCGATGTATGAACGCATTCTGAATTTCGGACAGGTGCCTATCGGTTTAACCGCCAGCAACTCTATGTTCCCCCCGAAGGGCTCGCTCGACAGGGGCGGGAATGGGCTTTGGAGAACCCCCGAAATGACGAGGCCCATCTCTTTCTCGAGCGCCATCGACAAAATCGTCGCTGTCGGTGTCGACCCGAAGCTCAAGGACATCTGCATCGACGCGACGATCGGTATCCAAAGGGGTTTCGTGAAACATCGTAACATGCTAGATGATCTCATCGAGTTCGAAACGCACGTGTCGGTGGGGGCTGGGATCCAATGGCGAGACGCCGCCGGGGCCATCCTCCTGGACATCAAAGCGGCCTTCCCGAGCTTAGATCACGAGCGGATCTCTTTCGTGTTCGAGAGAATGAATTCCCCCGACTTCGTGCTGCGCGCCAGTAAGACCATGTGCTCTGAGCTGACCACGAACATTGTTTTAGGTGGCGTCCTCGGTTTCCTTTCGGATTTTGAGGGGCATCATGCAGGGGTGCCCAATGCCCGGCAGTGTTTTCGCGTTGGGTTTCGACCCGATACTCAGAGTACTGCGTCCCGGGCTTCCGAGGCCCGCTAGCTTGCGCGGCGCTTTCGCGGATAATGTGGCGTCCGCCTCTCGCGACATCTACGCCGCGCTTCCAGTCTTCATGCGAGTGATGATGCTCGCAGGGTGCAGCGCAGGACTTGTCCCGAATCTGAAGAGGACGGTGATGCTCTTGCATGGGGAGTTCGATCGTGAGGAGGAGGAGAGGAAGTTCAGGGAGAGAGGGGTCCAGGTGAGGTGCTTTGTCATGACGAAGTTTGCTCGGTATCTCGGAGTGATGCGTGGCATCGGTGCGCAAGACGAGTCCCGGCGAGCCCCTCTTGTGAAGTGTCGAGACAGGTGCAGGTTCATCAAATCTCTCAGGTTCGGCTTGACACTGTCTGTGCGCGCGTGGAACCGGATTGCCTTCGCGGTGTTGATGTCTGTCGCGCAGTTTTGTCGGCCGAACCGTGAATGTGATTGCGCCCATCTTGGGCTGCAGTCTCTCACCTGTGCTCCTCGGCCTGCTCTCCCAGATTCCATGCTGATCAATCTCCCCTCGTTGGGCGGCAAACAGATTTGTGCCCGCTCGTCGCGCGAGAGGCCAGAGCAGCGGCGTTCCGTGCGGTTATGGCATCTTCTGTCTTTTTCTCTTGCATCGAGAAGATCGACGATGCCTTTGGTGAAGACGAGGGGTATCTCGATGCCCCCTTTCACCCCGTTTTGACCAAGTCGTTTGTTAAATACATGTCGGAGAATTACAGCCAGTTGTGTTGTTTCCTTGCTGCCCCGAGGAGCTTGGAACCTGGACTTCAAAAGAAGATGTCCCTGCTCATCCTCGAGATATGGCCCAGTGTTCCCTTTACTGATGTGTTATTCTCTTGTGTAAAGTTCTTAACCGTTGTAGCGCACGGCGGGGCGCCAAGCTTCCAAAGAACAAGTTGGTCGGAGTTGCATCTGGTCGGAGTTGCATCTGGTCTGACTAGTCTGGTTGGTCTGTCTGGTCTGGTTGGTCCAGTTTGAGCTTGGTGCTGAGGCTTTAGCTTAGGTTCCAGGCGAGAGTGGTTTAGGGGAGGTCCGGGGAGGCAGCGACAACCACTACCACCGAAAAACAGTGTTTTTTTGCATTGCAGTTTTTTTTGCATTGCAGCTTTTTTTGCATCTGGTCTGGCTGGTCTGGTTGGTCTGGTTTGAGCCTGGTGCTGAGGCTCTAGCTTAGGATTCAGGTGAGAGTGGTTTAGGGGAGGTCCGGGGAGGCAGCGACAACCACTACCACGACCGAAAAACAGTTTTTTTTGCATTGCATTTTTTTTGGCATTGCAGTTTTTTTTGCATGGTAGTTTTTGTTTTGCATTGCAGTTTTTTGTTGAATTGCAGTTTTTTTGCATCTGGTCTGGCTGGTCTGGCTGGTCTGGTTTGAGCCCAGTGTTGAAGTTGTTCTTGCATTGCAGTTCTTTTTTGCATTGCGTGTTTTTTTTTTTTTTTTTTTTTTTTTTTTTTTTTTTTTTTTTTTTTTTTTTTTTTTTTTTTTTTTTTTTTTGCAACAGAAGGTTGGCAGCTATGTGTCCTGCAGTGGGATCTGTCCCTTGGCTGGTCTGGCTGGTCTGGTTTGAGCCCAGTGCTGGAGTTTTTTTTGCATTGCAGTTGTTTTGCATTGCAGTTTTTTTTTGCATTGCAGTTTTTTTTGGCATGGCAGTTTTTTTGCATCTGGTCTGGCTGGTCTGGTTGGTCTGGTTTGAGCCTGGTGCTGAGGCTTTAGCTTAGGATTCAGGCGAGAGTGGTTTAGGGGAGGTCCGAGGAGGCAGCGACAACCACTACCACGACCGAAAAACAGTTTTTTTTGCATTGGGTTGGTGTGGTTTGAGCCTGGTGCTGAGGCTTTAGCCGTCGTCGTCGTCGTCGCCGTCGTCGTCGTCGTCGTCGCCGTCGCCGTCGCCGTCGCCGTCGCCGTCGCCGTCGCTGGTCTCGATGCGGGTCCTTTTGGCTGGTTTTGCCGGGGTCCCCCGGGGCAGCGGGCACCCAGGCAGACCTGGGGGGAGCTCTGTGGATTCTGAGCTTCGGATCTCTTTTGGCTGGTTTTGCCGGGGTCCTCTGGCAGCCGCCGTCGTCGTCGTCGTCGTCGTCGTTGCCGTTGCCGTCGCCGCCGTCGTCGTCGTCGTCGTCGTTGCCGTTGCCGTCGTCGTCGTCGTCGTCGCCGTCGTCGTCGTCGTCGTCGTCGTCGTCGCCGTCGCCGTCGCCGTCGCCGTCGCCGTCGCCGTCGCCGTCGCCGTCGCATTGCAGTTTTTTTTGCATCTGGTCTGGCTGGTCTGGCTGGTCTGGTTTGAGCCCACTGCTGAAATTTCTTTTGCATTGCAGTTTTTTTTGCATTGCAGTTTTTTTTTGCATTGCAGTTTGTTTTGCATTGCAGTTTTTGTTGCATCTGGTCTGGCTGGTCTGGTTGGTCTGGTTTGAGCCCGGTGCTGAAGTTTTTTTTGTCATTGCAGTTTTTTGTTGCATTGCAGTTGTTTTGCATGGCAGTTTTTTTGCATCTGGTCTGGCTGGTCTGGTTGGTCTGGTTTGAGCCTGGTGCTGAGGCTTTAGCTTAGGATTCAGGCGAGAGTGGTTTAGGGGAGGTCCGAGGAGGCAGCGACAACCACTACCACGACCGAGAAACAGTTTTTTTTGCATTGCAGTTGTTTTTTTGCATTGCAGTTTGTTTTGCATTGCATTTTTTTTTGCATCTGGTCTGGCTGGTCTGGCTGGTCTGGTTGGTGTGGTTTGAGCCTGGTGTTGAGGCTTTAGCCGTCGTCGTCGTCGTCGCCGTCGTCGTCGTCGTCGTCGCCGTCGCCGTCGCCGTCGCCGTCGCCGTCGCTGTCGCTGGTCTCGATGCGGCTCCTTTTGGCTGGTTTTGCCGGGGTCCCCCGGGGCAGCGGGCACCCAGGCAGACTTGGGGGGAGCTCTGTGGATTCTGAGCTTCGGATCTGTTTTGGCTGGTTTTGCCGGGGTCCTCTGGCAGCCGCCGTCGTCGTCGTCGTGGAGCACGAGCCGCATGACACGTGTGCACGTTGCCGTCGCCCGCCGTCCCGTCGTCGTCGGGGTCGTCGTTGGCCGTTGCCTCGTCGTGGTCGTCGTTCGTCGTCGTCGTCGCCGTCGCCCAGGTCGCCGTCGCCGTCGTCCTTCGCCGGCGCCGATAGCCGTCGGAATTCGCCCGTCGCCGTCGCGATCTCGATGCGGGTCCCTTTTGGCTAGGTTTTGCAGGGTCGCCACACGGGTCAGCGGGCACCCAGGCAGACTAGGGGGGAGCTCTGTGGATTCTGAGCTTCGGATCTCTTTTGGCTGGTTTTGCCGGGGTCCTCTGGCAGCCGCCGTCGTCCTCGTCGTCGTCGTCGTCGTCGTTGCCGTTGCCGTCGCCGCCGTCGTCGTCGTCGTCGTCGTCGTCGTCGTCGTTGCCGTTGCCGTCGTCGTCGTCGTCGTCGTCGTCGTCGTCGTCGTCGTCGTCGCCGTCGCCGTCGCCGTCGCCGTCGCCGTCGCCGTCACCGTCGCTGTCGCTGGTCTCGATGCGGGTCCTTTTAGCTGGTTTTGCCGGGGTCTCCCGGGGCAGCGGGCACCCAGGCAGACTTAGGGGGAGCTCTGTGGATTCTGAGCTTCGGATCTGTTTTGGCTGGTTTTGCCGGGGTCCTCTGGCAGCCGCCGTCGTCCTCGTCGTCGTCGTCGTCGTCGTCGTTGCCGTTGCCGTCGCCGCCGTCGTCGTCGTCGTCGTTGCCGTTGCCGTCGTCGTCGTCGTCGTCGTCGTCGTCGTCGTCGTCGTCGTCGGCGCAGTCGCCGTCGCCGTCGCCGTCGCCGTTGCCGTCGCCGTCGCCGTCGCCGACGAGAGTTTTTTTGGACAAAGAACCAAAACCAAAACTCCAAACAAGTTTTGCGCGCCGGCACAACTTGTTGCAAGCAGCAGGGGGTGGCGGATCGAAAACGCCTACGGCGAATCACCGCCGCCCCCTGCCTTTGTGGAAGCGCCTATGTGGCCGAACGTTGAGGCCAGACCTGCCAAGCCATCGGACCATGTGTTCCCCGAATCGGTTTGGAAAGCCTTCGGGGAACACGTGGGCGTCTTGATGGTCATCGTCGCCGTCTTGGAGGCCTCTTGGGCGATCTTTCGGCGATCTTTGGGGGCTCTTGGGCCGTCTCGGGCCGTCGGAAGGCCGAAAAAAGGGAAATGCCCAAATCCATCAAAAACCTTGGGAAAATCAGTGATTTTGGCATCTTTTGGCCTTCCTGGAGGCCCTCTTGGGGGCCTCTTGGGCCCTTTTGGGCCAGCTTCGAGCCAACTTCGGCCATCTTGGTGGGTTCCTGGCACGTCTGACGCCGTCGGGAGCCGTTTTGGGGGCCTTTCTGGGCCAACGGGGGACCCTCTTGGGGCGCTCCAGGGCCGTCTTGGAGGCCATCTTGGGCGTCTTGGGAGGCCATCTTGGGCGTGTTGGAGGCCTCTTGGGCCCTCTTGGGGCCCTCTAGGGGCCATCTTGGAGGCCACTTGGGCCATCATGGGGCTCTCTTGGGGGCCTCTTGGGCGATCTTGGGGGCTTCTTGGGCCGTCTTGAGCCGTCGGAGAGCCGAAAAGGCGCAAATGCCAAAATCCTTCAAAAACCAAGGACAAATCAATGATTTTGGCCTCTTCGGACTCTCCTGGTGGACCTCTTGGAGGCCTCTTGGGCCGTCTGGGAGGCCTCTGGGGGGCCTCACTTTAAACGGAGAAGGTTAAAGGCGAGGTATAAATCGAGCATGTACCGCTGCCGTGCCTGGCTCAAGCCGGGCCCGGCCTGATATATGACTGTGCCTCACTGAGGCGCACGACTTGCATCAGAGATCGGAAAATACCTTTTCCATTGACGATGCCCATCCTATCCTTTACTCCAGATCCCATGCTTCGTCTCGCTCTCTTGCTCATGCGATATGAGCCAAAGCCTGGGATATGGGAGCGCCTAAGGCGGACTACATACCTAAGCTTACCAGCTTGTTTTCGACTTGGTAGCGGAGCTGGCTACACTCTCGTGTGGCTGGCTCTCGCTCTGATTCCAGTAATCCACGGCACAACTTGGTGGACTACTACTACGGTGGAATACCATGTTGCGCCGGCTCTGCGAGGAGCGGAGCCAGTCCGCGATCGAGCTAGCGGGGTCAACCCGCGAACTCGAGACGCTTTCTCCTACTTCACTGCGCTACTTCACTCCCGACTTCCACCAGATGCCAATCGGCAACTCGATCGAGAACGTGGTCACCCTGCGGGGCTACCCGCAGCGGGGCCACCTGCATCCCGTGCCGGTCAGGCGCCTCACGGCTACCACGCCAGAGCCTGACAAACCACAGCCTAAACCAATCACCGAAGCCGAAATGCATATGCATTGGATCAAGATAACTATCTTCGGCATTCTATGGGTGATAATGGGATGTGCTGTGGGATACATGCGGCAGGGGATGGACGACACGCGTACTACTGGCCCTTCATGGGACCCTGCCGGTACTACGCCTTTTCGCGAATACGTTCGCGAAGTACATGCATGGTTAAACGTAACGAGTGGCAATATGACACCACCACAACAAGCTGCAGCACTACAACGAGGCCTTCAAGGTCTGGCTCGTCGTATCGCCATGCAGGTCCCCTCCCAGATCATCAATTATGGTGTAACTGTCAATGGACAGCCAACGGATGCAGTAACCTACATACTGTACTTACTGAGCACCAAATTTGAAAATCTGGAAGATGAGCGCCAGCTCAACTCTGGCACGGCCCTTATCGACTTCCGCGTCGAAAGGGGCGAGCGAATCGACTCAGTATTAGCTCGATTCGAGATGGCCCGTGACGAGGCTAACTCTGTTGGCTTTGTCATCCCCAACTTTCAGATCCTAACGCTGATTCTCTTCAGAGCGTTAGGCGTTGGCGCGTCACGAGCCCAACACCTGCTTGAGCCCTTAATCATCAGATGCCCCGAACACAAGCAGACTATGACAGGCTGCTGACCAGGATGAGGAACTACGGACATGTTGCCGAGCGCTCTCCTGGCAACATAGCGGGTATCTTCACAGGGCACCACTCACATGCAGGTGTCTACGCCACGACTGCGGGGTCACCCGCTGGTCCTGGCGAGCCAAATCCCTGGGCTGACCCAGCCGATATGCCCAACGAGGCCACTGCCCTTCTAGGGCAGACCGGCCAGGCATCGGCAGAGGCAGCTGAGGCGAACGCCTGGTCGAACTACTCGCCAGGCGCCGCCTACACTGCAAGCCCGCCCTCGGGCACAACCCTCTGGGGCCAAGCGGAGTCATCCGCTCAATGGTCTCAGCCACCCTCACCGTTTGAATCTGGCACTGACACAGATACTTCATCTGACGATGAGCACAATGGAATAGTCTCTGCTGGTAATGACTATCCAGCGGACGACACTCACCTTTCTGAACAGCAAAGGGCGGAAGCCGCCTTTATGGCTTATCGCAAATCAAAACGCCGTTGGAGGCGCTTTATGAAGAAACCAGTCAGAAAGGTGAGACGTGCAGTACGCCGACATTTCAAACAATTTGGAAAGGGTCGTGGTAAAGGGGGTCGCAGACGCCGTATGCATGGTAGGGGTATTACTGCTTTCCTCACGTCCTTAACTGATATGGCTTTTGAAGAAGTTCTTATCGGAGGCAAAGGTCGGGGTCACAGGCGGACCTCCGGTAAGGGAAAGGGGCGGAGGGGCAACCCTAGGGACGCTTCTGGTAATACTATGAAGTGTCATACATGCGGTAGCACAGAGCATTTGCGCGATCAATGCCCGAAGGGGAAAGGAAAGGGATCCGTACACTTGGCTCAAAATTCTTTTATGGATGACATAGATTACATTGACTACGAGTTTTACGTCAATCCAGAAGCGGCTCCCGCTGCGGGCTCCTCCACGTATTACGTGATGGCCCGCTATGCTGAAGCAACCGTGGCCCTGGAAGACTACGCAGTGACCCTCTTCGACGAGTTCCACGGCTGGGACGAGGTCGATGAGATTGCGTACAATGCTTGGTTCGGTCTTCCAGCGGGGCCACCCGCCGGTGACGAGGTCTCCGAAGCCGAGACTGTCCCGGCAACAGAGGAAGAACTCACCGCCGCGCTGGCCCCACAAGTGATTGGCATGCCGTTGCTGCCAAATCCGTCGTGGGCTGGTTCGGAGATGGGAGACGCCGATGACGAAATGCGGGGCCATCCCGCGTATTCCGACTCCGAAGAATCCGAAGAAGATTATAACGACATGCTTCAAGAGCAGGTTTCAGAAGCAATCCGACTCTTGAGTGCGCCAGCACAGCAGCAGATGACGATGAGCGAACTGCTGTCGCACCCAGGAGTTGCCCGTCTACGTCCATACTTGGATTCGAACATGTCAGCATCTCAGATGCTTACAGCACTCCAAGCTCTAGCGGGGTCACCCGCAGAAGAGATGCTAGACACAACAGCGGGGCCACCCGCTTGGTCTATGGATGTATTCATGCAAGGTTGCGATCAAATGAACATTAACGACCTCTCGATGGAGCAGTTAAATGACATCGGATACTTCAGAAGCCCGTATCAAAACGTGTTCATGGTCCAGGACAGCTCAGAGGACTCGGAGGACATGCGGTACGCCAAGAGGGACAGGCGACCGTCGCCTCCCCGAGACTCAGAGCATGACGATCAAAGGCCAGTGACACGTGGTAGTGCGTCAGCGGGGCCAGCCCGCGGAAGGAGCCGCTCAGCTCCTAGACGCCCTACGCATGATGAATCGGGCTATCCATACAGCACTGAGCACTCCGTTGGAGTAACTGCTCAGCAGGTGCCGGATTGGTACATCCAATGGTACCCCGGCTACTCTATGGATACTCTTCGGCATTGGTATTCTAAGGAATACTGTACCAAAAGGGACGAGACTGGCGCGATAATCCGTACCAAGGGCGGCAAGACCAAGAGGCCAGAGGCCTGGGACAAAAGGGCAAAGAAGCAGGAGATCATCACTGACCGCAAAACGTACAGAAAGCAAGTATGTCAGTGTGAGCCCTTCAAAGGCCACATGCGCAGGTGTCCGATGGACCGCCCCTCCAGGAGCCCTCACCATGGAGAAACCCCGTGGAATTGGTCTCATGGAGACGACGCGGGTAACGTCCATGATCCGAACAAAGAGGTTCCTGGAGGAGGAAAGCGCATCACAGAGGCCGATCGCGTCCCTATGACCGAAGAGGTGGCCAACACCGTCAAGGAAAATTGGGCAAAGCTTCCCAATGACCACCGCCTCAAGGAATGGAACCG